CTCTGAGCATTTGCAGCAAGACAAAGCGGTAGCAGAATGAATCACTGCGTGTCCAGTGACTTTGGAGGTGAATTTTAGAGGAGTGTTGTTTACCAAAACATCTGGGTTACAACATTGCTTTTGCTGCCCTAAACCCTCTAGGTTGCACCATAGGTAAAATCATACCTACCTATGATATATGCCATGATTCTCCTTTCTTTCCAGCAAGATGCTGATTGGAGGAATGACATAGACCTGAATTAGCTAGATATATATGTGGGGTTTGTTTTCTTTTCATTGAGCTTTCAACATGTGATACAAAATTTATGAAGAATCTGTCAAAGCAAAAGCAGAAACAAGCTTCCCCCTCCCAAATTATACCAGTTGTGATAAACTGGAAATCATAATAAAATAAAAAGATTTTTTTTTTCAGTTATATGTGCTTGATACTTGAAAATGAATGAAAAAACCAAGACTTGATGGAAATGTGTGGGTCTTTTTAATCGTAAGGGTTATTCCAGCATGCATCTATGTCATGCACCTACTAAATATAATAGTGGTGTTTCTTGGTAGTGATGCTGATGATTTTCTCTCTAGAGTGAATATTTCAGCAATGCAACAATGCTTGTGAAAATAACAGTGTGAATTTAAGCTTTGTGTAGGCATTTCTGTAGAAATGTGGTTGTTTTTTTCTTGGGGGGTGATGTACACTCTCTACAACAGCTTGACCAAAACCAGAATGTGTGAAAACAGATTCTGACATACCAGGTTACACACTATTGGCTGGATTTTTCACGGTAAAAACAGTGAAGTCTTGCCAGATCAGTTTATTATCCATTTCCTAAAATTCCAGGGAAGAAACTGATAGATGATAAATCCATGCAAATAATGTGGGCCTGATGGTCTGCTCTGGGTGCTGAAGCAGCCATTGTAGGGTTGTGAATATGTGTTTGCAGTCCCCAGGACTGTGAGATCCCATTTAATTCATGGACTCCTGATGTGGTGCTCCTTGGCTCTCAGCATATGGGGTAACTATCCCTGAATAATCTGCTACTTCTGATGCCTCAGGTTTTAGCTTTTCTATTTTCAGATTCTGTGCTGCTTTAGTGTGTGGGTCTGAGCTTCACATCAGGGCATGGTGAGCTCTGTGCACAGAGCAGGGAGACAAAACAATTCCTGCTCCAGCTGGGCACCAAGGACAAATGATCCAAATCTCAGCCCAAGAGCACAAACCCCGTGGGCTGGAGAGAGAAAAACAAGCAGGATGGGAGTGCAGGGGCTGAGCTGGAATTGGACACTGAACTGCAATGTGCACATGGGAAAACTTATTTACTGTGAGGGAGGTGAGGCCCTGGCACAGGTTCCCAGAGAAGCTGTAGCTGCTCCAGCCCTGGAAATGTTCAAAACCAGGTTGAACAGGGCTTGGGGCACCCTGGGATAGGTGAAGGTGTCCCTGGCCATGACATGAACAGGGCTTGGGGCACCCTGGGATAGGGGAAGGTGTCCCTGGCCATGACAGGGGTGGCACTGGATGATTTGAAGGCCCCTTCCAACCCAAATCATTTTATCTCTGTAATGATGGGACATTTCTGCTGTTTATTTCACCAGCTGGGATGAGAAACCTGCCTGAACTTCGTTAATAGCTGTCTTAATTACTCTAAGAATACGATCAATAGCTCTTAATGCTTCCCCACCTCCTGGGGATCTCAGCACTTGTCCCTCAGATAAAAATCTATTCCATTTGCATTACTGATCTTGCTTCAGTTCAATGCTTAATTTGGCAGAATTATTCAGGACTGACACAAGATTAACTGTAACCAGACAGGTTTCAAGAAAAAAAAATCTTACATCTTTGGCACTCCTCACACTAAAAAGTAACTCATGGTTATGATGACTATTGGGAGAAAGTGTGAAAGTTGCTTAGAAAAATAGCCCAAAATAACAATAGAATTAAAATGATCATTAAAGGGCTGTCATCAATGTCTTTTTTAAATTCCTACTTCAGCTGCTTAGACTTTTTGATGAATCTGTATTTTAGAGATCCCCAATATTTTCATCAGTAAAGAGGAGTTTCTCTCAGAAACATCAGCAAAAGAAAGATGGAGTGATTGCTCTCCCAGAACCTGATGGGATTTTGGGGTGTCAGCATCATGCAGGCAGCTCCGAGGGGAACTAAAGGCATGAGGAGAGGCTGGGGAGGCATGAGACTGGTGATGGATGACTGCACATACAAGTGGATAAAATGGAATTTTATAACCACCGAAGCACTTGGCCACTCCAGGAAAATTGTGAGGAATTAACAATGTGTTTCCAAGTTTTTGTCAGCCTAAAGGCAAAGGCTGTTGCACACAATGGTCAGGTTGTTTAGAGAGAAAGTCTAGATTTTTTTTGTGGAAGTAAAGCCCTGGTAATGTGTGCCAAGTGACAGAAATGATTGTTTGATTTATTTTAAGGTAAATCTTATATTCTCCAGTGGCTACACTGCATTAATTAAGCCTCAGTTCCCCTGCAGTGCTCTCTTCTGCCATGGTCCTGTCACAGCTCCCAGCCAACTTCTCCAGTGGGAGATTTTAATAATGAATGCACAGTGGTAGCAATGAATGATTAATCTTTGAATTTCAGCCCATCCCCAGGGCTTTAAAAATCAAATACAGGCTTAAGTGCTTTGCAGAACCATCACCACCATGTCTACGAAGTAGAACCAGAGGTAGACTTTTCTAACAAAAACAGTCATTAAAAGGACATTAACCTAAACATGTACCAAATATGTAAAAAAAGAAATCCTGCTAAAAGTCAGTAGCCAAGTTTTTGGGGTCTTTCATTTTCTTTTTTGGATGATGGGAGTACCAGCTGTCTGGTTATTCCAAAAAATGGAAGAATGGTATTAGAATAAATCCCAATCCCTGCTGCAGATCCATGAGGTATTACCTTCAGAAACAGGCTGAAAATCCTTCCTCAACCTCACTGTTCCTCACCTACTAAAGGGAAAGTGCTTAAAGATGTTCCGGAATGAAGATCTAGATGAGGATTTTGGTCTGATGGAATGATGCTACAATAGGTTGAAACAGCAAAATAGAACATGGAAAAATGCTTAATATGAGCCACAGTCTAAATGTGAGATATTTCAATATGGTGACAGAACCAGATTATGATCTATCATCTTCCTTCCTTGCAAACTCTCTTTTTACAGGGTATGTGTGCACAAATATTGACTCTGTCTGGTGTATATCTGCACAGAATTATCAATTCCATTCCTTTTCATCGTCCCTGTGTGAACTTTTCTGCTGTCCAATCTGTTTGGATAAACAACACTCCACTCCATAACACACACATCAATGCGAGATAGGTTTATACACACCCGCTTATAAAAGTTGCAAAAAAACATGAGGAAAAAAATAATGGCAGCGAATGGAACAGAAAATATGATGTTTTTTTCTCTCTTGGTTTTGGTGGCTAACTATACACATAGGAAAAACACCAGCAAAACCCAGTCACCATATTGATCCAAGATGACAAGGGATGTTTGATAATCCAGTTAAATCTCTGGAGTCCGTGGCATGCTTTGCTTCACCCGTGAGATGTGCAGCAGACACCAAACATGCACTTCAAAATTCAGACTCAGAACGAGCTCTGCACATCTCAGGTGTTAATTAAAGTTTAGGACTCAGGGATGACTTCCTAGCAGAACATCCAAGCCTTCATGCAAGCCCTAGGCAGACCATGCACAAGTTAACCTAGTCACGAAGTCACATCCTCAGTTTTACTTCTGAGGTAAATCCTACCACAGAATCAATTTAAAACATTATTTTTGGCTGTGGAAACATAGTTTAGAGCAAGATGAAAGGGGCAGCGCTTTCAGTACGTGGATGTCTGGCTACAGACATTAAAATTCATGTAGAAAATATTATTATTTAATGCAAATCTAAACTAGATAACAGGGGGAAAAATAGAAAAATAGGCAGCTGGAGGACATATTTTTCCCTGAAAATTGTCATTTAAATGGATGACATCATTATATTATGATTGTGGTTACTTAGGGTAAAACTAATCACTGGATAATTGTATTTGCTACCAAATAAGCATCTCCTACTTTACCCTAACATCTTTTCGTTTTATTTAAGGTTTTCATAGCTTGTCTATTTTTATCAGGAATTTAGTACTAAATTAAACAGTCCTACCTACATCTATGTGTGCAAGAAAACACTCAAGGTCACAAAAAAATCCCAAAACCCAATGTGTGTGGTGTTTAGGCCAACACCAGAGGTGCTGCCCCATATCCTCATTATTCCAGAGGATTATATAATTTTTGTATGGAGAATGACTGCATGCACTCAAAATCATGATGACAACCACCTCAATTGGCCAACCTCTGCCCTCTTATGAAGTGGAAACTCATAAAAAAGATTCCAGCTTAAAAAAAAACCCATATAAATCACAAAGCTGCAAACATCTAGAGGAAAATTTTAGGATTCGTGTTTTTAGGATTTTAAAACCATTTTAAGGGGGTGTGTGTGAAATGTTTAGCTTAAGTGGAATGCATTTAAGTTTAGAAGAAACACGGACATAAGCATGTCTAGGGGATCTGCCTACACTATAATTCTGCCTGAAGTTAATTAAACCTTTTCACCAAATCTCATTGATTTCAGTGAACTTTGAACCATTTCCTAGAACTTAAGAAGCACAGCCAACCGTCCCATGAGGATAACAATTTTTATACCAACATGTAAATTTTCAGATAACTGACATGTAAAAACATTAGATTTGGCTTGGGTTTGTTTTTTTATCTTGTATTTATGCTTATTTAATAGGCCCTTTAAAGAAATGTGAAAGCTGGCATTAAAATGCACTTTCACAGCTGATAGTTTGAAAAATTAAAGTAAATTCAACTAAAATAATTTAATAGACCTTGCAACTCTTTTCAAAAGTCAGCCTAGTTCAACTGAGGTTTCTTTTTTAGTTTGTGGGTTTTTCCTATGTGTATATCAGTAATTTAAATTGATTACTGCTTTATTTGTACTTACAAGTAAATGCTGGATTCATTGCCCCCGATGTCAGGTGACTGGAGTTTCTGCACAAGTATCACAATTATGCCAATAAAAAGCACAAAGTTTATCTGGGGGAAAGAAGAAAAAGGGAAAAATGGTGACAATGACATATTTTTACAAAGTATGAAAATGAGACATTTCCAGTGACTTGCTGATTACATTCCCTTTTTCTTCTCCAAACCACAGTCTAAAAGTTTTATAGGGTCAGGAGCCATGGGGAAAGTTCACAAGGGTCTTATCCCCTTTGCTGCAGCTAAAATGAGGCAGAATTTCTGCAGTTTCAAGATAAGAGAAGAGAAACATAAATGGAAAAGTTTCAACATTTTTCATTATCAACCTGCACAGAGCAAAAAGAAAGATCCCTGCACAAAAAAAAAAAAAAATCATAAAATAAAAACCTTGAGAGTAAAAGCATTTTTAACTCCCATTCTCTGACCAACAGACTTCTCAGTTTAACAGTTTCCATCACTTAAAAAAACCTGGAGAATGATAAAATTAGTTTGTTCAGGAACTGAACATGAGCATCAGCATCAGTCTCATAATCTGAAGGTTGTGAGTTGGATCCTCACATGGGGCACCATTATAATGTTGGGTTTTGTTTCGTTTTTGATTTTTTGGTTTTTCTGTTTGTTTTTTTTGTTGTTGTTTTTGTTTTTGGGGTTTTTTGTTTGTTTGTTTGCAGTTTTTGTTTGTTTGTTTGTTTTTGTTTGTTTGTTTTTGTTTTATTTTGTTTTGGTTTGGTTTTTTTTGGTTGAGATTGGGATTGAAGGCACCTGAAGGTACTTGACTCAAATGTTTATTTTTTTCTTCTTTATGTTATAGCCCCACAGCTAGGGAGTTCTGTAGTATTCTACTAACAAGGTATAAAACAGCTAATTATTTTTTGTTATAAGTTTTTTTTAAGGTTAAACTATCTAATTAAGAAATTACATTTAAATTGTTTTCACTTTTAACTTAATAACTAATCACTCACAGTCCGCAATGTAGACTTTTCTGTTTAATTTTAAAAGACTACTCAAACTTCTGAAGAAGAAGGTGAAGAAGAAGGACTAGTCTCTGTTTTAAAACTTCTATCTTGTTCTTTATATATTACTATATTCTAAAACCCCAAACTCTAAATTTTCCACCTTGTGATACTATACACTTCTAATTAAAACTACACACTTGTAATCCTAGTGTTATCAATCAATTTTGGAAGCTTTTTCTATGGTTTCAGGTCAAATGCAGGGATTTCTTGGGAGTTAGAGTCTGTCAGTACAGAAAGTCTAAAATTCTCAGCATCTAGAACTCTCTTCCAGTAGTTTCTGTCTGATCTGAGGACTCCAAAGGGATGGAGAAGCCCAGTTGTCCCTTGCTGGTTGTTTGGGTCTTTAATGCCTTTAACAGAAACCAGATTTAACTGATTCCCCAAGCAGAACATGTTCCTTCATAGACTGTGCCTGCAAAACATAGAAATTCACACATGGACAAAAGCCTTGGATCATTGAACCCTCTCTGTTTTGGTGCTGAAATTGGCTGAATTTCCTTTCATTCATCTGGCAGTTGCTGGACTTTACAGAGCTGTCCAAAGATTTCAAAGGACAAACACCAAACCTGATAAAACTTCCTGTTTATTGGTTACCTGTGATCTGGATGTCTGAATTCCCACAAAACCCCCTGCAAACCTGCTTAATTCTGTCTGTGGAGTGTGGAGAGCAACTCAGAATGCCCAGAACAAAACATTGACAGATTTTCAGCTGCCACTGACCATACTGGCCAGGGACTCATTTTATTTTCCTAAATGCAGGAGTCAACAGCTTTTTAAAAAATTCTTGTATTCTTTTGAGCACCAGAATATCTCCCTCTCTTCAGATATTCAAATCCATCTGTATACAATCCTGACTTCTATGTCCTAGGGAATCCTGTCTAAACAGGGAGGTTGGACTAAATGACTTCCAGTGATCCTTTCCAATTTTAGCTATTCTGTGAAGCCCAAACAGGGCACTTTAGAACCTCTCAGTCCTCCATGTGCAGGTATCTGACAAAATTTGAGCCAAATCCAAGAGTTTCATCAGTTAAAGAGAGCTCAGACAACTTGCTGACAATATGCACTATGATCAAATACTATTCTAAATCTAATATTGCATAAATAAATGTAGGTGTGAAGTTAATCCCATTCAGTAGGCAGAGTGCATTTTCCTTCACTGATGAGGAAAAAATTTACTATTTTACTATTTAAATTTACTAAATTTACTAAATTTAAATTACTAAATTTACTATTTAAAATTTACTATTGTTTTAGGTGCCCTGGATTGTCCCACTTGGCCTTCAGCTGCCACCCCAATCAGCCCAGAATTTCCATACATCCTATGACATGTCTGCCAGCCCCAGACAAATGTTCCACATGCTCTGGGGTCTTAATTATGGCATTTGTGTCTGTGTTTAAGCAACTAAATAACTCCCTTGCTTGCAGGCAGTGCTCCATCATTTAATTTGTATTAAACCTTCTTAATAATGAAATTCCTTGGCTTTGTGAGCAGCAAACGATGGAAATTTAGGGAATTTGCCCACCAGTCCAGCACAGGGGCGCAGCACAGTTTGTAAAACATTTGAAGATGTTTAAATTTGTCCTCAGGAGAGCTGAGGAAGTGTCTCCTCCAGGTTCTACTCACCATGATTGACCCAACCACGGGACCCTTGATCACCCACCACAAGGCAGTGTTGTCATTCATGTCCCAGCAGCTGCAGCCGTTGAGGAAAGAATGGGATGGGGAAAGAGAAGGAAAGAAAACAAGACACAACAATGAAATTAATGAAATTACAACTTTTTTTTTAAGGGGGCAGAATGTGGGAGATTGGTTTCTCAGCTAAATTATTTTATCTAAGTTCAAAGTGATAGGTCTCTACTTTATCTTATTGCAGCTTTCTTTTACAGAATTTCCACAAACATTTGGAAGTAAAATTACTATTTTTGTGACAGTTTCAATCTTATTCCTATTAAACAGCTTAGATATTTTGGAAAACCCCTTTAAGTATGTTTCCGTATCTATAATCCAACTGTAAAGTTGTCCCTTTAAAAATAAAAAGAAAAAAAGAGATAAAAAAAAGACAAGTCAATGGATGGGGTTTTTTTTGACGGTTATTCCAAAGTTATTCCAAACTGGTTATTCCAGTTATTGATGGTTATTCCAAAGTGGTTATTCCAGTTTGATGTTTCACTTGCTTTTCCAGGGTTAACAGATATGAATGTTGGTTTCTGGCCCTGATACAAGGATTTTTACACATTTCCAGTACACCAGGATCCTGGCTGTATTCACATATTGGAATGATTTTCCAGTCCCTGGGTTGCAAGTCCTATCCAGGATTCATCTGAGAAGGATCAAATACTGGACAACAGTTGGGGTCAGCTCCTTTGTTAAGCTGTTGCTAGTAAATGACATAAACAAAATGACATTTCTACCCCAGAATTGAAAATCTTCCTCTGAAATCACCAAAGGATTCTGCAGATGGTTATTTCACCCAGATGCACATGGACATTCAAATATATGGCTTACATTCATGGAGAGTTTTAATGGTAACATACATTTTTAGAGCTAGAAAACCAACAATAATGAAAATAATCTTATTTTTCAGGCCCTGCTACACTATTATAATGACTACTATTTATTATTGAGAAATGTCTTCATGACTTATTTTAAGTCATCAAGAATTTGTCAATGAAAAATTGTCTTTCATTTGCCTCCACTTTCTTCCCCTGATTTTCTCCCTAGAAAATATAAAACCATGGAAATCTGTCTAAATTGTACTTGCAGTTCTGAGAAGGAGTTTTTTCTTTCCCACTGGGAAATGAGCCAAAGTCCCAGCAGAGGCTGTCATGGTGCATTTGTCAAATGCCAAAAAACAATTGGGAAGAACATACAGGAATAAAACACTGCTGGTCTCATGAGAGCTTACTACAACTTCAGTGTCATTTAAATGGTTGTGTGGCAGCATCTGGGGGAAAAGGGAAAATCTTTAAACAAAACTATATACATGTGTAAAAGTGAGGAGGCAGAGCTAAAATCCCATCATCAAAGTGTGTGTGAGAGAAATCCCAAAAGGCTGAGTGATGCCTGGTTTAGAAATTTCATTTAAACTTATATTTGCAGTTGACCAATATTAATTCCTTTCATTCTTTGTTACTCTTTTCATTCTTTCTCATTCTTTTCATTCTTTCATTCTTTTCAGTTGAACAACATTTACTCCTTTCAGATGGACAATATTTCACTGGATTCCCATAAAACCAACATTAAGGATTTGTATGGTACAGCTGGCGAGAAGTGAGAAAATTTGCACAAAATTATGTAATTTTGCTTCTCTTTGCACAGCATGGAAACCTGAAATCACTCAAAATCTAAGGGGCTGATGACTGAGATTTTCAAGTGCAAATTCATATTTCGTAGTTATCTCACTTTGGATGCCCAACTTAAAATATTTGAAAGAGGATAAATGCTCAGAGGGATCTCCTCACCCACAGTGTGGAAATCAGGCTTGTTGTCAGTGATCAACAATGGTATGGACCTAAAATCACCAATTATCTTTTAAATTCTTTTTATGCATTTAGAATTAGGTGCTGTCTACTGAAAATTACCAATTACTTACAGAGCTCAGCCTCTTTATAATGGACATTAAATCTGCCCTGAAAATCTTTAGTGAATTGACCAATACTGGAATAATCTGGGCAAATTATTAATTATTAATTTAGCTGTAAAAGTAGACATTGAGGAATGGCAGTTTGTCTGTGTAGGAATGAGGAATTACAGGGATAGGAATCCACCTCTAATTCCAGTTCTCTAGACTGTAGAGACCAACAGCCCAGTTAATTATCCCAGAATCTGGCTGGGACAAAGAGACACTTGGAGGTTGTTTTGGGTTTCTTTTTCCCACACTGAGGCACTTTTAATATGCACTCTGGGGTGATACATCACCCCCTAAAAATTCCTTTTCTTAGATCTCTCTGCTTTTTTCTTCTCCTCTTCTTAGACCTTTTATTCTACTTAAACCACTCCCCTGTTTTTCCAGGAGCTCAATTCCCAACTTCCACCTTGTAGATGTCAACAATGAATCAGATCAAGCTCACAGAGATTTTTTTCAAGGGTTTTCAAGGGTGTGCAGTCCCTGTGACACCTACAGGATTAGTGTGGGGGAAGGAACCACCATCTTCTCCTCAGATAAAAAAAGTGGGAATACATGACAGAACATTTGGAATTTTCTGCACTATGTAAACAAGCTCCCCTAATTTCTGTCAAATGCTTCCCTACAATGAAGGATGAAAAGAAATTATTCTTTTCCAGGATGGATGAAGGGAATGGAGCCAGGGGGCTGGGGAAGGGATGTGATTTCCATCTGCAGAGGCCAGAAGCTGAACTCTGGGGCAGATCTGGAATAACTCCACTTAAATCAGGAGCAGAGCTCTGGATCAACAGACAGCTGCATTTATCTCCTGAATCCTGTCACTTACAGTGATGGAAGTCAGGAGCTGAAGTCGAGGGAGCTCTGCCAGTTTTATAAGGAACAAGCAGGAGGGGTCTCAGGCTCCGAGCCTGTATTTCAGTCCCTGCCTTTGCCACTGTGGTTTTCCAGTTCAGTAATTTCCACAATGTTTTTGGGCTCACGCTGGCTTCTCCCCCACTCCCAGAACAATGCTGGCTGATTTTTAAAAAGTAACCACTGAGACTCTCAGCTAGAACCTGTCTAAATGTCTTGCATGCTAAATAGCTTCTCTAAATAATAGGAATGTTTTTGGTTGCTTTGGTTTTTTGTTTCTTTTTCTTCTTTTTCCCTCCGCGAGACATTCTCCCTACCTGAAAAATGCAAGGGCTGTTTGGACTTGTAAGAGAAATTAGTGCTTTCAGGACCAGTGCTGTAATCCTAATAATGACACAACAGGGGTTTCTGGCTTGTTTTTCATGGAAATAAATGATTTAATTTGTCTTAATGTCAAATTAGAACATTGGGTCACAGCACTGGCATCCCCAGTGGAGGAAAGGCTTTATTTGCTTTCCAGAGAGATTCTGAAAGAACAAGGAGGAAGAAAACCTGATAGACCAATGAGTTTTGTGGAAATTTTTCATCAAGGTATTTCCAGTATTAGGCAAAACTGAAGCATAAGCCTCAACGACTTGGAAATGGGATTTTGGTACTAAGTGCCTTTCCCTCAGTTCTGTTTTCAAAGAACCACTGGCTGATTTTTGAAATTTTTCTCAGTCTACCTCATTTTTTCTAACATTTCACCAGGTTCAAGCACAGCTCTCATGAAAAAGCATTGCCAGGTTTGTCTTTTCAGGGTGTAAATACACATCCATTCCTACCTGCCACGCCTGCTGCTCTATGGGAGCAGATACTGACTACCAAAATATGCAGATCCAGCTGTGGGAGCAGCTTTTCCTTCTGCTCCTTTAGAACGGGATATTTGCAGCTTTTTTTTTCTCTACCAAATGAGACAATTTGGAAAGGACCTACCCTTTTGAATTCTTTATGAAATATCTTTCTTCCACACAGATGATAGAATGCGCATTTCTGTTTCATCTCTATTTATCTCCCCTGCAAAATTCATGGAAAACCCTCCTCAGTGGGAAGCTAAACTCCTAATTGCCCTGGCAAACCGAAGCTCAACAATGTCTTGTGCAGATTTCCTTCATTGTACTGGATTTATGTCCAATAATTTCTACAGCTGAGCTCATCACCTTCATCTTCCTACACAATCAGTGGGAAAGAAGCAAAGGATTACATGGGATTCCACTTGCAAGATGAGACAAACCATATCCTGGACTCCAGTAATTTAATGGAAAAGGGAATGGGGTCAGCTGCAGTTTTACAGGTTTGATGCCTGAATCTTTCAGGAATTCCCCACTGCAGTGGTGGCACAGACATCAAACTGTAACTCTGTGAACAGAAAAGTACTTGAGCTCTGGACCTAAATTATGTTAGCACACAAATGGATGTTAGAAATGAAAGGATAAAACAGAGCAACAGGAAATGGCCTCAAATTGTGCCACAGGAGGTTCAGGCTGGACATCAGGAAGAATTTTTTCACTAAAAGGGTTTTTGAACTTGGGATGGGGCTGCCCAGGGAGGTTTGGAGTCCCCCTATGTCTTAGGTTGGAAATAGGGATATTATATCCCCATCTGTCAGAGCTGGGGCAGCTCTCCTCTGTCCATGTGGGACTGTGCCACCACCCTGACCACAGGGCTCAGCTCCTGCTCTCACTCTGGCAGTCTTTTTGTTTGTACTATTGCACTTGTATTTTTATTTTTTCCCTAATAAAGAACTGTTATTCCACTCCCATATCTTTACCTGAGAGCCCCTTAATTCCAAAATTATAATAATTCAGAGGGAGGGGGGTTTACATTTTCCATTTGAAGGGAGGCTCCAGTATTCTATAGCAGACACCTGGCTTTTCACACCAAGACACCACCCCTGGAGGTGTCCAGGGAAGGTCTGGAGGTGGCACTCAGTGCTCTGGGCTGGGGACAAGGTGGGGATCAGTCACAGCTTGGGCTTGGTGACCTTGGAGGTCTTTCCCAACCTAAAGGATTCTTTCATCTGTGATTGTTCTCCAGTCACCACACTCCTGGCACCCTTGCCATGGTGCTGGATGTACCTGGAACCATTTCCCACACAGCAACACCTACCCAGTGTCATCGAAGTGGAGCCTCAGCACTGCCCAGACAGTGACACAAATTGTTGGGGTACCTGCAGAGGACAAGACAGTGACACATGAACAGTCCAGACGTACTTAATATTCAGCAATGAGCATTTATGCAACCTCTCCACTGAGGTTTTGTTTCCTGACAGGACTTGTGCATGGCATAAAGCAATTTATTGAGTTAATTCAGAGCTCCAGAAATATCCCTGTCAGTCAGGGGTGGGATTGTAGGAGCAGAACTGGGAGCAGGAAAGAATGATGCTGTGCCAGGTCATTATTGCTCGGTGCTTTGCTGCATCTTGCTGCATGAAGAATAAAACAAAGTCTAGACAGAAGAGAATCAGCCACATCCCTGTCTAGAGCTACTGGAATCATGCAAGAATTGCAGTGCCAGAAGTTGAGCTGGAATGGCATTATTGGATTCTGTGTATTCTTCAGTGGTTTTGTTGTAAATTATTTACATATGTTGCATTTTCTCTGTTTCTGTGTAAATAATCAGTTTTTCTTATTCACAGATGAGAAGTTTCCTCTGTTCACAGGAATATTTAATTTTTTCCATTAAAAAAATACCAGAACAAAACAACAGACTCCAAAAAAAAAAGAGTATTGGAGTGAGGATTTAATTCCTATTTCAGACATTTCTTCACTTTCAAAAAATGCATGTAAAATGCAAATTTAATTAAAACAGTAAGAACCCAATGAGAAATCTGGATTTATTTTCCTTTCTGTGTGCATGGCATAAAGCAATTTATTGAGTTAATTCAATTAATTATTGAGTTAATTCAGAGCTCCAGAAATATCCCTGTCAGTCAGGGGTGGGATTGTAGGAGCAGAACTGGGAGCAGGAAAGAATGATGCTGTGCCAGGTCATTATTGCTCGGTGCTTTGCTGCATCTTGCTGCATGAAGAATAAAACAAAGTCTAGACAGAAGAGAATCAGCCACATCCCTGTCTAGAGCTACTGGAATCATGCAAGAATTGCAGTGCCAGAAGTTGAGCTGGAATGGCATTATTGGATTCTGTGTATTCTTCAGTGGTTTTGTTGTAAATTATTTACATATGTTGCATTTTCTCTGTTTCTGTGCAAATAATCAGTTTTTCTTTACTTGTTCACAGATGAGAAGTTTCCTCTGTTCACAGGAATATTTAATTTTTTCCATTAAAAAAAATACCAGAACAAAACAACAGACTCCAAAAAAAAAAGAGTATTGGAGTGAGGATTTAATTCCTATTTCAGACATTTCTTCACTTTCAAAAAATGCATGTAAAATGCAAATTTAATTAAAACAGTAAGAACCCAATGAGAAATCTGGATTTATTTTCCTTTCTGAAAATCCTAGAAGTGCAATTTTTTTTTTCCAGTGGAAATATTTTTTAAAAATAATGCATTTATGCAAGAAAACCCTGGGTAAGTTGGATCTCCACAGTATGGTAAATAAAATCTTTGACTAAGAAACTGCTGACATCTGTTCAGGCACCACTGAAAAAATAAAGTGCTAAAAACCAAACAAAACAAGGACCTTGATAACCCCAGCTCGCAGCAGTGAACAAGACTGTAGTGAATTGACAGGAACAATTATATTTAATATACTTTGTATGGCTGTGTTGATGTCACAGTAATTAGTCAATCATTTGAACCCACTTAGAGGAGACTCTGTCTAATCAAATTCCCACCATCAAAAATAAAAATATCCCTGTTAGACCGGGGAGATTGATGGAGCCTTTCTCCTTCAAAAAACCACACAGAAAAGAATTTGAATGGAAAATGGTATTAAGAAAAAAATGACAGGCTTTGGGGAGAAGAAATCATGCATATTAAATTTCAGTTGAAGTCTGCATTTCTTACAGGTGAATACCTAGAAAACACTGAGAAAAACCCTTTTTGACCTTAAAGGAGTTAAGATAAATTTTTAAATATCAAATTTAATTTTAATTTTATCAATTTAACCTTTAAATATCAAATATTTGCCCAGAAAATCTGTGGGTGCCCCATCCTTGGAAGTGTCCAAGGCTGGGTTGGATGAGGCTTGGAGCAACCAGGGATGGTGGAAAGTGTCCAGGGAAGGGAGGTGGGAATGAGATGAGTTTTAAAGTCTCTTCCAATCCAAACCATTCTTTGATTCTATAAAACATTGGTCTAATGTTTTATTTAGTTTCCTCTATATAAATTTTGATGCTATGAATAATGTTCCAAATCTGTAAAATGCGCAGGAAGGCAGAATTAAAACTAAATATGTCATAAAAATGCATTTAAAAACCCCATGTTTCAGATCAGCTTGGAGCTTTGAACCATCTGCTGTATGAATATACAAATCCTCACACTACTTTTCTTTACATCAAAAGATTTCTATCTCTCCATCGCCTCCTTTTCAGCTTCTGAGGAAGGTTAGGAAACAGAGAAGCCCTGAAGGCTGAGATTTATTCTTGATGACTTTGTGCTGCCCTGACTAAGTGATGTCTTATGAAAGCTGGCCTCAAAAGCTGAAACCTGAGGCATCATTAGGAGCAGGCATTAGCAGGGAGCTCAGGAAGACAGCAGGCCATCCAGAGAATTCACCAGCACATTTCAGATTTAGGAAGGAAAAACTGCCTGGATCAACAGAGCCATATGTGGTTCTCATTAATCCCTCAAGATGAGGACACTGAGGTCTCAGCACATTCGGAGAAACACATCAACATCCAGATGCTGCAAAGTGCTGAGCTCTTCTTTCTCACTGCTTCAGTGCAGCTCCCTCCCCACCAGCCCTGAGCTGAGGGGCTGCTTTTGCCCTCCAGGGATGGAATCCACAGTCTGGAAGTGCCTCTGTTGGCTTTGCAAATTGCCAATTGTTCCCACCAGATCAGGGAGCTGCGAGTCCAGCTGAAACATGCGGGAGATGAGAAAATAATTGTGCTTAAAAAATATAATAAACCAGAACCATCCAAATAACAAACCAGAACCATCCAAAGCTGGATATTGCTGATGCTGCTTTGAATCTGAAGTGATTGGATTGTTGTGCCCACCAACACAAGCTGGACCTGGACCGGTATCCAAGGTGGGCATGGACCTGCTGGAATGAATACAGAGGAGGCCACAGAGATAGTCCAAGGGCTGGAGCCCCTTTACTGGGGAGAAAAGCTGGGAGCGCTGGGAATGTTCACCTGTAGAGGAGAAGGCTCCAGGGAGAGCTCAGAGCCCTGCCAGGGCCTGAAGGGGCTCCAGGAGAGCTGGAGAGGGACTGGGGACAAGGGATGGAGGGACAGGACACAGGGAATGGCTCCCACTGCCAGAGGGCAGGGATGGATGGGAGATTGGGAAGGAATTCCTGGCTGGGAGGGTGGGCAGGGGCTGGGCTGGAATTCCCAGAGAAGCTGTGGCTGCCTCTGGATCCCTGGAAGTGTCCAAGGCCAGGCTGGACAGGGCTTGGAGCAGCCTGGGATAGTGGGAGGTGTCCCTGCCATGGCAGAGGGTGGAACTGAGAAGACCTTTAATGTCCCTTCCAACCCAAACCATTCTGGGATTCTGTGAAGTCCAGTATTCAGCTGAATGCTGGTTATCATCTATGGCAGTCAACTAAAAACTAAATATTTTGAGGTTGCATTACAGAATGAATCCATCTGGGCAGCTCATTCATTACAAGGACTGATTAAAAAAAGTACTGAAGTCAGTTAATATATGCTGGTTTTAAATATTCTCACATTCAGACAAATCTACAGGTATGAAAATTGTGCAAACTTAATTAAAGGAACTCAACCTCTGATTTATGTTCAGATTACAAAAGTTTTACAAATTGCCATTTTGCATTGTTTTCTTTTCTAATTGTCAGATTTCCATGTACATAATCCCCAATTTCTCCTTAGAAACACACTTTTCTCTCAGCTATAATGTGATTTCACAGCTGTAGAAGGTACAAAAAGAACCCTGAACCCCCTTTCCAACAGTTTCTTTTCCAAGGCCTTTTCCAGTAACTATCCATTTCCAACAGCCTTTTTATGGCACAGATTATTTATGATGATTTGTTGACTCCTTTCTCTCTATACCTTCTCTACCTCTACACCTTCTGAAACATATTTTCTCCCTACTGTACGGAGTCTTTGCCAGGAGATGAAAATTTTGGTTTGTGTACAGCTGCTTCAGGAGGGAAAAAACAGGACCATCTGTTGATTTCTTGAAGGTTTAGGCTACATAAGAATGCTTTTTCAAAGGAGAGTGGTTTAAGGCATGGGGTTTGTGTCTGGATTTTACACACAAATATACAGGTTTATTCCTGGGTTTAGGCTACATAAGAATGCTTTTTCAAAGGAGAGTGGTTTAAGGCATGGGGTTATGTAGATTTTACACATGAATATACAGGTTTATTCCTATTTCAAAAGTGTCTGTAAATATAAAAATCGAGTTTAACATTCCCAGGGAACATTTTAAATGAATGTATTCTTCTGCATTCACCATCTGACTTCTGCACAAAAAAACATCTGCAAAGAATTGCTTGCATTAACACATCACAGGAATCAATTTATATCCAGAAGGCTAGAATGAAAAATAATTACCATGGTTATCATCATTTAACTGGCTTTTCTGAAATAAATATTGTTCCTTCCCAGTGCAAATTTTTATTTCCCACCCAGGTAGGATAAGCAGATGTGAATACCCTTTGGATACATTTTCAATTTAGTTATTATCTGAAAGAAAGGCACAAATGAAGCCTTAGAAAATGGACTGGACTTAGTCTTGCAGATTTGATTAAGCTGAAGAAGCTGATGTTAAGATCATATCTTGCAGGAGGCAATTTTCTATTGCAGATTACAGTTCTGCAAGAAATGTGGTGTCCTCCAGATTTCAGTGCAACTCTATTAATGTAAAAAAACCACAACATAGCTTGGGCTGCAGTGTAATTCTGTGCTGTGAAAATTCACTTGTGGGGAATTTTGGAAGGAATTTGAGATGGGACCTCTGAATTGTTTTTGATGATGCAGTTTATTTTTCTTATCCTCTACATAGACAGGAAGGGTGAGTTCAGCTCACATCTTTACTGCATGGTTCAGAAGGTCACAAGACCCTTAGTTAAAGACCTTTTAAGGAGTTACTGACCAAAAAAACACTGCCAACAAGGATATTTATGTTTTTGACCCAATCCTTAAATATTTTGTCTAATGGAGCTAAGCTACAGTGTAAACATGAGTCCATGTGTTTCTTAAGCATGGGTCCATGTGTTTCTTAACCAATCATGTTATGATATACAAACCTACAGTATTGCATTCTAAACCCCTTGTTTACCCTTGTAACTGCTTTTATTTTTATATATCTTAAACTTTAAAACTGTAAACTTTTCTTTACTTAGTTTAATGTGTCTTTGCTTTAAACTCTAAATCCACATTCTCTCTTCCAGCACCTCGTTTTGGAAGCCTTTTCCAAGATCTCAGATCAAACCCTGGGTTTAATCCTAAGCTTTGGCTTACAGGCCCAAAGCTCTGAGAGTTCCTTTCATTTTGAATTCCAGCATCATTCCAACATGACTTCAACATCATCAAGACTAAAACCATAGTTTGAAACCCGACGTGGAAACACCACCCGTGGTTTGTGGAGCCATCCTGCACACCGAGACATGCTGGAGACAAGAAGTGCCACGTACCCCAGCCAATGATTGTGTACCAGTAGAAATATCTCCTCTCTGGGAAGAAGGTCTCCACCAACAAAGTGAAGAGGTACAACCCCTCGATGAACAGCCAGAAGTAGTTGGACATGACGCAGTAGTGAAAAAACACCATCACTGCTTTGCATTCCACCTGCAGGGGATGGAGAAGAACAAAGTTATTTCTGCATTGCTTAAGCCTAAAAGAAAAAATGCTTTCAACCTCTCCAGATCTCTCAGAGGAAAGAGCTGGGGCTGGTATTACACACTTTTAATGGTAGAGGTTTTAAAGAATGTGAAAAATGGCAGGTATCACTTAGACAGCAAAGCCTGGATGGGGAGGAAGCCAATTTAACCAGTGGGAAGTGGTCAAGGAGCTTTCAGAGCAGATACATCCTGTATTGCTGAGGGCTCACAGCCCCAGTGAACACCAATTGCTGGACTTAAGCCCCTTTCTAGGATTAAATGCAGGGAAGAAGAAAATCCAGTTCTGTACCGAGAAACCCAGAGAAGGATGTGAAATGGCAGGATGACTGCAGAAAGCCCTGAGAGTGGGATCTGAAAGGATGAACCCTCCTGTGTGCAGCTGGGAATTGCACTTCCTTGCCATCCATCATCAGTGTTGTCACTCAAGGACAGAAAATGGAAGTAAGTGTGAGGAAAAAGGAGGCTGAGTGATCAGCTGTAAAAAAAAAGATGGGAGCTTTCAGTTATGGACAGGAGGGGGAAGCAGCAAACTAAAGAAAAATGAAAACTAGAAATAAAATTAATATAGAATATAAAAACTTTAAAAATAATAAATAAATAGGAATAGAATAAAATTAAAATAAAATTTAAAAAATAGAATATAAAAAAAAAATTAAGGAACTGAGTTTGTTTAAGCAGGAGAAAAGCTCAGGGAGGACATTATTGCTTTCTGTAACTCCCTGACAGGAGGTGGTAACAAGGTCGGTCTCTTCTCCCAGGTAACAAATGCTAGGACAAGAGGAAATTGTCTTAAATTGCATCAAGGAGGTTTATCTTGGATATTAAGGAAAATTTCTTTCCTGAGAAGGTTGTCAATCACTGGAACAGTGTCCAAGTCAGTGGTGGAGTCACCATGCATGGAGGTGTTTAAAAGATGTGGAAATGTGGCACTTGGGGATGAGGTTTAGGGATGGATTTGGCAGTGCTTGGGAATGGTTGGACTCAGTTTCAGAGGGTTTTTTAACCTAAATGATTCTGTGACAAAGGCCTAAGGTGGCAACCAAGCTCTACCCTCTGAGACTGGGACATCCTGGTCTTTCCAGTGCTGCACCCCAGTGAGATGCCATTAGTCCTACAAAAGTAGGATTTTCCAACAAATCCTGTGGGAATTGAATTTGTGGACAATTTTTGAAGTCTGACAGAAGATTTAGAGAGTATGGATTTGTATGTAAATTTTGAGATAAGAAATGTTGATTTAGACTTGTTATGGAATAGGATAGATATAGTTGAGAGAGAAATGGAATTAGAAATAAGTTTTAAAGAGTGGTTTGTAAATAAGATTAGATATTTTGGAGAAATAGAATTATGAAATATGCATTGTAGTAGGATTTATGAGGGGGAATTGTAGATTATTTGTTTTAAGGTATTTATAATATGGTGTGGTAAAAGTAGATAGGTTAAGAAATGTTTATAATGTATTTTAATTAGGAAATAGATGGTTTTTGATTGTGATGGTGTGAATTATAATATTTGTATTGTTTTATTTTTTACATGAAACTGAAAATATAATAAAAGTTTTTAAAATGCTTTTTAGTTGTTTTATTTGTGAGTTAGAAAAGGGTGTATTTTGATAAATTGGCTTTTTGTGTGAGGAAAAAGGACATAATCTAACAAATCCAAGCAGAATCTGTGTATAAATAAATCTGTGTGTAATAAATCTATGTATAATCACTGCTGGAGGCAGCGATTAGCTCCCACTTTGACTTCATCCTCTGGGCCAAATCTACCATCAAGGTATTTAAACCATCAGATCTCAAGTTTCTTCATGGAAGCTCTACCCAGGCTGAAGAAAATGGCTGATTTTAATGTGCTTTATGCTTTAACTGTTTCCAAACAAAGAGGCAGATGCCACCAGTGGAAGAGTGGCTGGAGCAAACTACAGACCTAACATGGCTTCAGCTTTCTCCTGGAGAAGAATTGAGAGCAAAAACTAGTTTCAATGACAAAGAAAAGGCTGACTAAGAAACTCCACAGCTGCACTTGCCTTGTGGAAGTGACTCACAGGGAATTTAGCTCATAACTGGATGGATAAAGGAGAGCTCAGTTTGTAATTCTATCATAATTACACCCAGTGAGCTGATTTATCATATCAAATACTAGCCTTAAATGTGAAAGGAATTGGGATTTACACATAATAAATGCTAAATGCATCAGTGAAAGGGTGCTCTGCGTGAAACTACATATTTAAGAGACAAAGGTGTGGGTAATGCTGATGATTTTCTGAGTGTGGCCATCAGGTGTACTCTCTGTGTCTGAATGGTCACCCTGTATCCACGTGACTCTGCCTGACATCCAGAACAAACGAGGCTCTGGAGAAAAACCAGACCTTCAGATGGAGGAAATTGTGTCTGCCCTCATCCCACCTATCACTGAGCAGATCTGGGAAAGGGAGGAACAATCAGAAAATAAAACCTGTAGGTTTGTTCTGAAGGACGCTGGTGACATCACGAGATGAAACATCCAGTCTGGCTGAGAACTGGGAGGGAAGTTAAACACCAACTACCTTTACCCCTATTAACTCATGATACTCCACAGACTGCTGCCTGCCCCACAGCTTTTTGTTATCTTGAGCTGAAAAAAAGTGAAGGAGAAGGATTTGGTTTCAGTTTGACTCACCGTGGAGATAAAGCAGTGGTTTCCATCCTGCTCAGCATAAAGAACCCCATCCTTGATGAACACAGATATGGCACGGAGGATGAATGAAACAAAAAGGTTCATGTGGATGAAATTCCGAGTGCAGTGAAGCTTCCTGGAGAGGAAAGAGGAAGGGAGTGGGGGAGAAAAAGAGAAATAAAGAAGAAAATAGTTTTATTTTGTGGAAATGTCGCACTGGGCCTGAACACACTTTACCAGAGCACCTTGGTGCCAAGAACAGCAACATCTAAGCCAAGACTGTGTTAGTCCAGGTCCTAAACCTGAGAGAGGAGGATTTGGGGATTTTCTCGTAAAAGGATGCAGAGAAGCATAAAACAGACCACAGAACAAGCCCAGTGCAGCTTGTGAAGTTTCATAAACCAGACCCACAGCTTCTCCTGCTGCATTTACACTCTGCTGAAATGTGACTTCTGGAGCTTGTCCAAGCTGCGGGAGCAACTCAGCTAAAGCATTTTCCCCTTCTTGTTCTACCTCTGGTGAGATAAAACCTTTAGCTCAGTTTGGGGCAGCTGAGCTCCAGCTTCCTTCCTCCAGGGCCTGAGCAGCTCCACTCACCTGAAGCGACACAGGATGACCATGGCAGTGGTGAGGGAAACCAGGGAAGTGCTGTATCCCACCGTGTACAGAGCCTTCACTGAGAGATAGTAGTAATCCTTGGGAGGCAAAAACCGCAGGGTTAAAGGGTTTATTCACAGCCACACAGCTGCCAATGTGCAGGAGGAAGCAGGATCTGTGTCTTTGCACAGCCTGGTTTCTCCTAATTTCCTCTGAGATCTCACTGTGCACCAAGCTCTGCTCTGTAGCTGGGTCTGCACACCATGAGGTTATTTATCACTGAGCTAGCAAAGGCTATCTATACATTTTTTATAAGTATCTATAGAAAAAAACCCACTTGGCTAAGAGATTCTTTATCAGCAGGGGTGGAATTGAGGGTTAGCCTGCAATTCTAGAAGTTCCAAGCGACATCAACACTAAAAGCTCATCTTCTATAAAAATTCAATACGTGCCCTGGAAGGATTCAGGTTTCACTTCTCACAGTTTTATACCCATGTGTTGCAGTAAAGGTAGAAAAATCATAAAAAAAGGCTTCATAAAGTCAGGCCTGCTCTGGCTAGCCTGGGATTTCTTCTGAGGCAAGCTGGCACTTTGCAAGTTCCCATGTGAAAGCAATCCTGGTGTGAGCAATTTGTTAACATAACAAATAACAACACATTCAACATATTCCTGGGTGAAAAACAACTGGCACCTGTATAAACTCCTTTAGCACTGTTAGATGGAAAAATGAAAACTATCTCTTCAAACAACTTTTCCTACAGATACACACCAGGGGTTTGAGTGACCAATCAAAACAGAATAACAACTTGTTACTAAGCAATAAAGTAATTGGCAAGAAAGCTCCTAACCAATAGGAGTCCCACACGAGGTCTAAAAAACTGTACAAAAAGGAGTTAAGTGAATAAAGAATGGGCTTTTTCCACCATGAAGAAAATGGAGTCTGTGTGATTTATTCCCATACCCATGTACATCAGAACATGACCAGAGGCTGGACAGAGAGCAGTCTGCTGCTTCCCACCTCCCCCCTTCATTTGTTTTTAATTATGAGATTAATTCCCACCTGGTTATCAGACTCTGTTTCGTTCTCATCGAAGCCGCAGGCATCGTAATAATGAGGGAAAGGTTCAGACCAGCCATCTTCAGTGCAATTCCTGCTGATGTCCCCTGTGCCAAGGGCAAGTGGGAATGTCACATCCCAAGAAAAAACCCCAGGACATCCCTTCCCTCCCCTAGGTGCAAAGAAAACCCCACAGTTGTACTGGAAGTTCTGTTTATCTGCCTGTCCATAGATTTGTTTCTGGAAATTTATAGATGTCTTTAATGATCCAGTCCTACAACAGGCATGGCTATTACCACAGTTGGTCACCAGAGAGCAAAAATATTTAATCAGTACATTCAGTGTCTCCAGACCTCCAAAAATCTCATTCTCAAGAAGGTTCCTAAACCAGGGGTCAGCTAAATGTCCACTTCTTTCAAAAAGGCATCTGGTGACTCCAGCTTTGATGGAGATATCATCACTCCACATGGCCAAAGGAGAAATCCAGTGATTAAAACCAGGCCCTTTGTGCTATTTTAAATGGTTTATGTCCCCACATGCATGGAACTGGTGAGAAACACCAGACTGGTGAGAAACACCAGACTGACATGATTTTTTTTGGTCCACGTGCTGGAAGCCAATCAGGATGCTGTGGGATATCTCAGATAATCATGGGTTATATACCCATGGAGAGGCAGCTGGATTGCTCTCCTGTAGGCAGATAAAACACATCCCACTCGTTTATCTCCAAGCCCAGGCTCTGATCTCAGAATGACTTTGTGGGAAAGGTCTGGAGAAAACAAAGGAACATAGACTGGGAATTTCTCTCCCATCCCTGTCTTCATGGCAGTGTGTTGTTTTCTATCTCCAGATGCCCAGGGTGGCCTCAATTGGTGAATTCAGAGCTTCTCACTTTCCTCTGTCTATTAATTATTCCAATCCTGGTTTACAACCTTAATTTTAAGCAAATATTGGCTTAAATACCAGAATTTTTTTGTTAATTTCATATAAAAAGCAGCTCCTCAATTGTTTTGCTGATAAACTTAGGCTTTAAAACCATACTGGGAATGAAGGGTTGGGGGCAGAAGAGGAAGAATCTCCTGACACTCATTTACCTACAAAGGTGCCTGAGGTAGGACAGCCCCTGTGGGGCTCTTTAGAAGCACCACATTATTCTTCCCAAAGCTCAATGGCTTTTCCAAAAAATTAGGGATGGGTTGCACCATTATTCTTCCCAAAGCTCAATGGCTTTTCCAAAAAATTAGGGATGGGTTGCTGCTGCAATTCCTCCTCTCCAGCACAAAGGAAGAGGCTCAATTTACCAAATTATCCCACTTTTTTGGAGCTTCAGTTGCACCTAGACCAAAACTGATGGAAATTTCCAAGTTTTGAGTTTGCTCTTTGCTGTTAAAGTTGTGCTGCTTTGCATTCTTAGAGCAGTTCAGTCTCTCCTAACTTTACTTTTAACCTTATTTAAGAGAATCTGTTTGCCATCCATGCAGCATAATATATCTCTTTAATCACAGCATTCATTTAAGAACATGGCATTACTCAGCAAATTTTTCAAATTACTCTTGCACATTCATCCCTAGTTTTCTATGGAAAAAAAGGCACTGAATCATGGTGCTGACTTCCTTTAACACCATTTAGTAATTACTGTTAAGCAGGTAGATATAATTTATAGCAGCACACTTCTTAGATTGCAAGGATTAATAGAAGAGGAATAAATTTTCATAATATTGCTAGAAGTAACAGAGCAGAAAATAGGTCATAATAATTAGAACTGGTTAGAAAATAATACCAAAATTGCAGGGAAAAAGAGCTGAGAGCTTCCTTTTTAAAAGAGGGATAAATAAAAAGAGAGGCAAAAATTTCCATGGTTCTGTTTCTTACCTAGGAGAGACTGGGCTGTGCTTTCCAGCAGGTCATAATCACCTAGGAAAGTGGAAATTGGGTATGAAATTGTTTTGATTGTGTTTTCTATTAGAGCCCAAACTGGTCTCAGTGGAAAGCAATGAATGGAGTGCAATTGATTTTTATTTGTTTAGATCAGGCCCAAAGGCAATAAATACTTGGTGCTGTCTTCTCAGGAAGTAAACACAGCTTTACTTGAGAGTTTAAATCAAAGCTGAACCTCTAAATTTAGAATTAAAAACACAAACAGCAAACAGGGGCAAACTTTATAGCAAAAATGTGGAAGTCATATATGATTTCTATAGGAATTTGCATTTACAATCCTCAGGTATTTAAATATGACCAGCTTTCAGAGGATTAATGAAAAATTCTTTCCATCCATCAATGACAAAGAGCAGTAATTAATTGTTTTAAATAAGATAATATAATTTTGTGGTTTTAGATAAAATCACACTGATTTATAGACACTTATGAGATTTTTAATTTCACTTTTTGTGCAAGTATTATAGTTAAGTACCAATGTATCATTGTCATAGTTGTTGATGCACAGACAACTTTTTAATTATCTGAATTTAACATGTGCACACCATTTTGGAGAAGTACAGAGGAGATAAGCACCACAACTGGTTCTTACCTGCATGGGTTTGCCCCAAATTATCCACTTCCCAACCTGCAATTAGAAGAATGAAAATGATTAATTCATAATGATAATAGGTTGCAATTTTGCTAAAAGTTTGACTCCCATAAAAGAATAGATGTAGCAGAGCCCAGAGGAGAAGTGCAGGTTTAAATCTTTACTTTTGTATTAATCCTGCATATTAATGAATGGGAAAAGGCTTTCAGAAGATGGGATATTGTTAAATATCTGGTTTCATGAATTTTCATCAGACTGTAGGAAGAATAAGAAAAATGGATGTAGGAGCATTTTTGTGGATTTTTTTTTAATTAGTTTTTAGGGGAATGTTCTGAAGTAAGGAAGCCTCACACATTTCCAAAACACTTTATCCAAACCCATGCTGCTTATATCCTAAATAAGGATATAATATCCTAATATCCTAAATATCCTAAAACCACAACTATCACAGTGGGAAATGATAAAACTTTGGGCTTATGTTAGAAATCTCCCTTTCTTTCGTTCTTAAAAAAAAAAAAAAATTGTTGGAATGATGCCAAACCAACCTCCCAACCCCCTGTGCTCAATATTTAATCAGAATTGGGCTGAAATCAGGTTTTCCTGGGTCCTGGGTGGGTTCTGGCTCAGCTGGGGATGCAGGAGGAGCTGCCTGGAGCCAGCGAGTGGAGCTGCTGCACCGTGCACAGAGGAGCCTCAGGGAGATGCTGCAAATCGCCCTCAAAAACATTTCCAGCACCTCACTGACCATTGCAGCAGCTGAAATATTCACTTCAGTTTAGTTCTGCGTCTTATTCAGCCCCAACAGGGCTTCAGGTTGTTCCCCTTTTAACCCCAGTGGTCAAATGTTAATTAGGGATTGGAAAAACCTTCACCAAATTGTATGGGAAGGGTTTTGTTAAAAGTGAAATCCAAACAAAGACTGATTTTGATCCTATGGGAAAGGAGAAAGCATCTAAAGAAATAAAATAATAACAGAAGGCTTTTCAGCATGGCATAAAATGTGGGGGTTTTATTTTATAATTCACATAATAATTTAAAATTCCTTGATTTCTGAGTCTCCTCTAAAGTAAATCTCATGTGCTTTTATACCTTTTAAGACATAAAAAAAGAGGGTTTAATGTGAAAATGATGGTGAGAGTATAGAAAACTCATCTGAAGCATAAGGCAGGCTGTTTTATAACTTTGGATGGATTATTAAGCATCAATCCTACACATCCAACACACTGGGGACTTTGGGGGGTTGATCCTGGAAGCCACGGTGACAACACCCACAGTGTCCATCCTTCTCTGCCCAACTCCAGCTGTTCCCAGCATTCCACAGAAAGAATTTAGCCTGGATTTTAGGGAAAGGTTCTTCCCCCAGAGGGTGGTGGGTTGCTGACCCATGGAATGTTCACATTCCCAAGGCTGCCAGAGCTCCAGGAGAGACTGGACACCTCTCCCAGGGATGCACAGGCTGGGATTTTGTGCGGGGACAGGATGATTTTGTGGGTCCCTTGCAACTCGGAATATTCTGTGACTCTAATTCCTGGGTGTCTGCAGATGTTGGGCAGATCTCTGAATTCTGAGGAGCAAACATTTTCCTGCAGCCAAGGTGGTTCAGCTGCTGCACAGGGCTGAGCTGGCAGATGCTGCAGCAGTGCTGAGCCCGTGCTCCACATTCCTGGCAGAATATCAGGGATGGTGTGGTGGGTTCAGTGATGGTCAATATTAGAATATTAAATAATAGAATATTTATCTGTTCTGCTCTGCAGAATAGTTTGGAGAGACCTTTTTGTCCTCCTAAATCCACCAAACCCCAGGTCTATTACCAGCCGTGTAGTTCAGTTTTAGGAATTTGTGGCTAAAATCAGGATGCGTTGCCAAAATCTGAATTCAGAACACGGATGTCAGGTCGTGGTGTGGGAATTTTTATCTGTGGGTGTATCAGAGGATCAAAGAGCAAACCAGCACTCCTTTATCACTTCTTTCATGGTGCTTTCCACAGCACCTGCCACTCCAGCCAGCAGCTCAGATGGAACCTGTCCCCTGAGTGAGGTCACCCAGCTCAGCAGCCTGTGCCTCACACTGACCCACACCAGCAGGGTGGAAAAAGCTGCAAGAAAACCTCCCCAAAACCCCTTTGACTCATGAAAATCCAGTTTTAGTTTAGCATTTGTAGAGTAATTTGACCTTAAAACTGTGCAGAATTCTTTCTGGAGAAAGACCAGTATTAAGTAGATTGATGTCTGATGTTCCTGACATCCTGCTTATTACAGTGATGGCTGTAAAAAAGACATTTCTCTTAAATTTCAATGTTTTGAATGCATCTATTTTTTCCCATGCAATCTAAAAAGCATGGCATAAAAATAATCATTATTTAATTCTAAACAGATATAGCAGTTAGTCTCATTGATATTAAAATAATAAATTTTAGTCAACTTTTAATTTCATGACATCCATAATAACAGTTAAAACATATTAATGCAGTTTTTCTGAAAGGAATAAGCTTGTTATAGAAATATTTTTGTATATGTACTGAAATTATTTTTACATTTCACCGTGTTTGGACATTATGAAGGGACTCACTTTTCTAACAACATTAATTTTCTGATTTGTAGTAGCAAGCAAGCCTTTCATTAACATGTATTTTTATATCTGAGTCCTAACTAATGTACTGAACAAAGCTCCAGTACAACATTTGTCTGTACAGGCTTTTAGGCTTGATTCATCAATTCAATTTTCACTAATAAGTTAAGATACTGGGAAGTTAATTAGATTTACATTGAACATCATGCCCTGAATTACAACAAAAATGTCAAAATTCATCTATTGAGTGTTGGGATAAAATGAACATATATACAATTATATTTGTGGGTGTGTGGATATAATTTTTTTTAATTTCTTTGCAATTATTTAAAAATATGTATTTTTATAAATATAAAATATATCTGTACATCTGTATATATACATTTATATTTATATTATTTATATTTATATTTATATTTATATTTATATTTGTATTTGTATTTATATTGTAGTTTATATTTTATATGTAAGGATATAGAAAATATAAACACATATAATATATTATATAATATATATAATATAATATATATTAAATTATAATAAATAAACATATATATTTATATTTTATATTTTCATATTTTATATCCACATATATTTTATATATTTAGAAACAGATATTTTACATACATAAATAAATATATATTATATATTATATATAATAAATAAATATAAATTATATGTTATATTATATTATATTATATTATATTTATTATATATATACAAGCAGATATATTTTGTTATATATACAAGGACATGAGGGAACATAGAGCCACCACATGCCTTTGAATTCCTGCATGCTGCAGCTGCTGCCCTGCCCTCAGACAGTGCACGTTTCTGTATTCTGCAGCAAAATATGGATATTTATTTGACAGAAATCCATGGCATTGGTGCTGCTTCCTCACATGTCTGAGAATGAAATAGAGTTCAAGTGAGTTTGTTTTGTGCACATTTAACATGTTTACATAGAGAGGGACAAGACCTGACCTTGCATCTAAAGGGCTGTGAGGAATCCCAGACACACTCTCATTTGTCACAATATTACCTCAAAACATTCTTTTTCTGGGTTATATTTTCACCTTAGTGCCTTTAAGACTCTAGAGTGACCTCAGTAAATTTACTCTGCTGTCAGTGATGGGGTGGGCAGGACTCCAGGACCCCTCACTGCTTGGGCTTTCTCACAAACCTTCTTGCTTTCCTACTCTTAGGACACAAACAATGAGAAATTGGTGTGCTTGACCTCACTGATGAAGAAGAGAAAGCCCTTTAATATGATTATGCAATGGTCTAATGAAATGCATTGCTCTCTCAGAAACGAAGAATAAACAAAATATGATTTTCATCTGCATTTCCACTGGAAGCACGTTTTTCAGGGGTTTCATTCAAGGGTTACATTTACAAGGGACTCCTGAGGAGAGAGTGTAGTGACAGGATGAGGAGGAATGGCTTCAAACTGGAAGTGTGTAGGTTTAGGTTGGGTATTAGGAAGAAATTGTTTACTCAAAGGGTGGGCAGGCCTTGGCACAGGTTCCCAGAGCAGCTGTGGGTGCCCCTGGATCCCTGGCAGTGCCCAAGGCCAGGCTGGATGGGGCTTGGAGCAACCTGGGATAGTGGAAGGTGTCCCTGCCCGTGGCAGGGGATGGCACTGGATGAGCTTTAAGATCTTTTCCAACCCAAACCATTCCATAATTCTATTATTCCATGATGACAACATCTTAAATATCACAATTTTATGACTTACTTGAATGACATCTGTGCTTCTCACATGTTGTTAAACCCAAATTATGGAAATATGGACACCACAGCAGACACTAAACAGTGCCTTAGAACAGCACTTATTAAATCAATAATTGCTCTTATCAGTCAATAAACTCCTGAGGAAGCTGCTGTTATCCTCAACACAGGATGGTTTATCCAGTGTATTGACAGGTTGTGTTATTTGCCATTTGACCAGACTTAAGTAAGCATCACTCTTTGGGAAGCAAATCTACAATTAATGCTTTAATTGACATTGTTAATTAGATGTTATTTGCAGTACTGCTCAGACATCCTAGAGAAGATCTATCAGAATGCTGAGTTACCAATTCAAAAGACCAAGTACAGAAAATACTCCTTATTTCTATTTTCTGCAGGAAGAAGTAACAGAGGGGGAAAAAAAATCCAAGGACTTGCCAATGGCTCCCCACAGAGTTGGTGGCAGAGACCCAGACCTTTCCTGCCCTTTTCTTGCACATTTATCAGACTTTCCTCTTTGATTTTTATTTACTGAGACCCAGAACTCATAATTCACCCCTCACTATGCAACAACTGATGAGAAACTCGACGACAGCAGTTGCTCCTGATTTAAAGTGGAGAGGGAAGCTGAAGCCAAGAACCAGCCTGTGCACCATGAGCCTCAGAGCCTTTTAGATCTTCTCCTCGGTGCCAAATCTGTGCTGGCTGCTCTCCACCTGCCTGGCCTCCCGTGGCTT